GTTCCCCAGGCACAAACCCAACCCAGGCACAGCCAGGGGGGCCACACCAGTTGGGCACTGGTGAGAACTGGGACATTTCCTGCAGAGCAGCAGCTCCCTAGCACCGGGCTGCAGAGCAGGAGGTTCATGGACAGCTTCCCTCTCCCAGCTGGGAGCTCCCACTCGCTCTCTGCCAGGTCCCACAGGGGCATTTCCACCTCCTGAGCACCTCTGATGAAAGGGGGGTGGGAGAAGAAGGGGATTTTTCACTTGAGGGTCCCAGAGAGGCGGCCCAGCTCATGTGTGGCACCCCAGCCTGGCAGAATCTGCCCTCTGAGGGAAATCAGGGCACAAAGGGATGGGTGACACCATCACCAGAGCAAAAACTGGCCCTGCTGCTGAGCCCTGCACAGTCCCAGCTCATTCCCTCCCTGCTGGAGCCCCCAGGAGCAGGATGAACGTGGTTCTTCACTTTGGCCTCTCTCCTGAGCTCACCCCTGCACTCAGGTGGGAACAGGGATCGCTTCCTGCTTGGTGATGCTGGAAAAACTCATCTAAATAAATCCCTTCAAGGGCCCCCTCAGAGCAGTTCAACCCAGAGAAGGCAGTGATGCTATTACTGGACCAAAACAGCTCTCAGATGAAGCATCAATCTGATTTTCTTCCCCCACACTTCTTTTTTTCTTCCACCTTGCTATGGATTAATGGCTAATCGCTCGGCTAATTACCACCCCAAGAGTCTCTTGGCCATCTAGCTGACCTTGCAAGGGACAGCAAGAAGCAAATGACAGCACAGAGGTGGCATTTCTCCATGGCTGTGGCGAAAATTGCACCAGGGGAGCAATGCTGAGGAGCTCAAGGATGAGAGAAATGCAGCACAGAGCCTTGAACTCGCAGGGTGCCTCGCTGCTGGGCCAAGCAACGCTGGCTAAGGATCTTCCACTCCAGGTTCTGGATGAAAAATGATGATTTGACCCCTTTTCTGAACCACTCTGAGCAGGTAAGTGGCTGAGCTAAGCCCTAAATTTTGGCTGGTGCAAAAAGGGCAGGAAAAAGTGCTGCAGCAGGGAGGGAATTGTGTGCAGGCTCTAGCTTGGAAATTCCACATTGCTCCACTCTCTCATTTCATTTCCCTGGGTGCCACTGGGTTTTTGAGGCCTCACTCAGTGGACAGTGTGTGAATGGGCAATAAATAAACCAAGGAGGCTACAGCACCAAAAATGACCCCCTCAAAGGCAAGCTAACAACTCCCAAAGCAATTTCCTAGGGTTCCTTTGGTCATCCCTGAACTTGGGAGCAGCCTTGGAGCCCTGACCTCTCCCAGGCCCTTCAGCCCCACTTTGCACTTTTGTTCTTTAGGACACAGAGCTGTGGGGTCAGTGTGGTGGGAACTGGCCAGACCCGAGCAGTGGCCTCAACGTGCAGAATCACTGCTGGACCCTGCAGGGTTGACAAAAGATTGTTTTCTTCCACAGCCACCCCCTGACGGGGACATCTGCAGGGCAGGGTCTGTGCCACTGCTCTCTCTCAGTGCCCGCTGATGCCTGCCCAGGGCTTGGTGCTGGAGGCACTGTCACCATCCTGCTCCGAGCCTGGCTCCAGGGCTCAGATCTGCAGGATTATTCACTCCAGAGATGGACTTTGCTGGGAATTCTCCCTGCACCACACACTGAGCCAGATTACAGGCTCTCCCTCTGGGGGAATCAAAGCCCTGCGTGTGCTGCTCTCACGAGGCACTGGAGGGAAGTCATTCCCACCCCTAATCATCACTAATCAGAGAATTGGAGAGCTGCTAAGAGGTTTTATTTCCTTTATTGGGGGCTTTCCTGCTAGCAGGCTGCTCCTGGTGGCAGTGGAGGGCTCAGGCTGAGGGATCCCCAGGGAATCTCTGCCTGCCCTGGCTCTGAGAGGACACAGAGCTGCCTGTGTGCTTCCTGTGCCATGCCAGGAGCCAGGAAGCCCGAGGGGCTGGCAGGAACAGCAGAGACATTACAGGCCAACAATTGGATTTGCCCGTTTTCCTACCCCACTAATGCAATCACAGCACACGGGGATGGCTGGGGCTGTGCCCGGCACCGAGCAGCCCGTGGCAAAGGAAAGCTTTGGAGCTGCCTGGATCAGAGATCTGCCCTTGACTCATCTGTGTGGCTCTGCCTCTCCAGCCTCCTCCCTTTTTGCAGCAGGATAACCGCTGTGGAACAAAACCCAGCGGGTAAGGCAGGAGGAGAATTAGTCCTGCTATTTTTAGATGTGCATGATAATACAGCTCAGAAAACTGGGGATTTCTTTTCAAACAAAAGATTTATTTATACATCAAATTAAAAAAAAAAAAATTAATATAACCCACAAGAAGAAAAATAAGCCCCAACCCAATGAATCTAATTTGGAGATGGTCGGTGTGAGACAGAGGGCCCTGAAGTCTGGAATCCCATTTATTCACAGAGCAGAGATAGCAGCAATCCAAACCTCCCCAGCACAACGCCGTGGCTCAAGGCAAGGAGGGAAAGATCAATACCCCAGGCTCAATCCCTCCTACCCTGTCTGCCAAGCCTGTGCTCAGGAGAGGGATGTGATATTGGAAAAGTGGCAATCAATGCCACCTACGTGGTGCAGCCACGGGCTGGGGTTGTTGCTAGGAGAGAGAGAGAGAGAGAGAGAGAGAAAGAGAGAGAAGCACCCCCGTGCTCTGACCAAAATAAAAAATAAAGTGTAAACACATGACGATTAAGTCTTAGTGGTATAATAAAATAAAACTCAGGGGCTGGTCCTGCCCTGCCTGGGTGTGCAGGACAGAGCTGAAGGCAGTGGATGTGTGGAAGCAAAGTGTCCTCAGTTGGTCCCTTCCCCAGTGGATGTGCCCCAGTGAACTGCTCTGTGGCTGGTACCAGCGACAACAACAGCGACAAGAACAAAAGGAGCCAGCCTTTCTCTGAGCCATCACGGGGGGAAAAGTGTCAGCAATAAATACTCCTTTTCTTTCATTTAAAAGAACACTCAAACAAAGACAGAAAAATGGAAAGCCAGGAGATAATAAATTGTAGGAGGAAAATGGCAGTTTTGTTTCCCTGCTCTGCTATCAGCCCCTGCACCTGGGGTTTGGTCCAGGGCTTTTTCCCCCCTCTTTTCTCCTCATTTTCCTTTTATTGAGTCATTAAAAACTGCATGTGGTTCTCTCCAGGTGTGCAGCAGGCAATGGGAATGTCACCCAGACCCCATTGATAAAAAAAAAAAAAGTAATTAGGGGGAAAAAAACCCCAAAAATCCATTCACCTGAAAATGGCACCTATGTTTCCATTGCCATAAAACTCTCCTGGCCTCTGTCCTACGGACAGCCCACCTGCCCCCCCCTCCCAAGGTTAAAAAAACAAACAAAGAAGACAACATACAAACAAATTTCCAGTGTTTCAGGGGGGTGGGAGTGGGAGGAGGAAGGCTCGGGGAGGGAAGGGCACTCTGAGACATGAAGACACAAACAGAGTGTAATATACAGGCTGGGCAACAGTCGTTAAAGCAAAGAGTAACACCTAAGCCACCGACCAATACAAACACCACAGAAGGGGACGAAAGTCGTCGAAGAGAGGGAAATTAAAAAGCCAAACCAAAACCGAGAGAGAAAATAATTACCCGACCTCCCGCCCTCCCGCACGAGCCCCACCCCCTCCCCTCCCCAAAAAATGATCCGTAAGCAAAGCCGCCCTCCCTCCCCGCTTTGCTGGCCCCCAGCATCCAAAAAGTCTGTGCGGGGCCGGGGCGTGCGTGGGTGTGCTCGGAGGGATGCAGGGGAGGGAGGGCATCGCTCGTGAGCGCGGTTGTGAGCGTGTGTGAGTGCGAGTGTGAGTGTGAGTGTAGCAGGGGGGGCGTGGAGCTACACGTACCACTCCTTTTTGGAAATAAAAGACCCGTCGTTCTGCGACACCATGTTGTCGGCCAGGTCGAGCTGCTCGGGGTCGTACTGGAAGCCGAGTGTCCTCTCGTCGTAAGGTGCGGGGCGGGCCTCGCCCTCGTCGACGGTGAAGTAAGGCCTCTTGGCATCCTCCTCGTAGGCTTTGGGGCCGCCCAGCTTGCGCTCGCCTCCTGCATCCTCATCCTCGTCCTCGTAGGTGCTGCCGCCCAAGGGGCCCGGCTTCTTCTCGTCGTCCGAGTCGTCGGGGTACTGCAGGTTCTGGGCCATGGGGGGGTGGTGCTGTGGGATGCCAGCCTTGCTGTAGCCGTTGCCGTACACGTGCTTCTTTGTGCTGTAGTCACCCTTGAAGGTGTGACGCCGGCGCCGGAGTACCACAAAGAGCACCACGGCCACCAGCAGGACCAGCGAGACGCCTCCCACTATGCCCCCAATCACCGGTGTGGGGATGTTCGGCTGCACCATGGATTTGTGATCATCGATTGGAGACGGGGTGTAGGGAAATTCTGGGTAGGAAAAGACAGATGGAAGGGGGAACAGTGTCAAACCATGCGGAAACGCGCCCTCCCTCCGTGCTCTCATTGCCAGTTTGGGGCGGGGGGTGAGGGGGTGGGAAGATGAGGGTAAGGAACAGGGAAGGGAAAAACTGGGGAAAGGGGAAGAGGAGCGTCCTCACAAGGGTCAGCTCTGCCTCAGCCAGGGGAAGGTGCCGTGCCAAGCTGGCCAAGCCTCATGCAGGAGCCCAGCAGGCTGGAAGCAGTGGTTTGCCCTCCCCAGCCCTCCTGGTGTCTCCAGGCGCGCTCCGATCCCACCAGCCCCAGGTCTTGAGTCCGGACGCGCTCCGTTGGACCGGGTGACAGAATTCCAGCTCCAGTGTCCCTCAGAGTGCTCCTGACAGGGAGCGAGACCCCAGACCCCACCCAAGGGTGGGCACCGAGCTGCTCAGAGGTGCCAGGCTGGACCCACCAGCTCTGCATCCCTCCCCTCACATCCCAGTTGGGTCAGAAGGCAGCAGCACCTTGTGATCCCCCACCCACAGGTGCCCTGAGGCTGCACAGAGCTGCTCAGAGCCCTGCTGGCTCCTGACCCCTCGTGCTGACCCTGCAGCATGAGGACACAGCCCTCCCACTGCTTCTTCCCCTTCCCTGGCCAGCACAGTGCCACTCCTCCTGCTAATCTTGCTCCTACAGCTACCCTGACCTATTTAAAAAGAAGAATAAATAACTCAAAAAGAGGCAGAGGAAAGAGATGAGAAAGCAGCTCTCTTCTCTTTCATGCAGTTCAACACCTACACTTTGGCACAGATAAAGTTTGAGCCAGGACTTCAATCAGCCTTGCTGGGCACAGGTACAGCCCCTGGCCGAGCTCGGAGCCTGTTGAACACCCGTGTGCAGCAGGCATTAAACACCACGTGCTTGTCTCAGCCCTTCACCTGCCTCCCAATTCAGGCAGCAGGTGCCCTGTTAATGCCCTGTGGCAGCCTGGCTCTCACACGAGACTTTTCCCAGTGCTCTCCCCACCCCTAATCCCCTCTGCCCACCCTGGAGCCTCCTGGCCTTCGCTTCTTCCCCCAGCAGCCAGGGAGAGGTGCAGACCCAGCAGCAAACTCTGAGCACAGCCAGGCTGGGGTGATGGGCAAAGAGGGGCTCCGAGGCAGCAGATTCCAGAGGGATGAGAGGCAGTGACTGCTGCCTACCCCCCTCCATGGCCCTGCTGGCACAGCTCAGCCCAGCCACTGCGGGCCAGGGGACAAAAGAGTGAAGGCACAGCAACAGCTGCAGGTTTTGGACAAGGGCACTGAATTCGAGCAATTGCTGGCCTGAGACATAAATGTTTTAGTTTTTTGGTTTTTTTTTTGTGCCTGGGAGATGATTAATTCCTGCCTTTCCTGCAACATCAACCCGACAACAGCGTCTTGGTTTCTGCAGTGCTGACTTGCCTGGAGCAGAGCCTCCTGAGGCTGAACCCACACAGAGAGCAGCCCACTGGGCAGAGTGGGCTGGGGGACAGATGGAGGGGCCCTGCTGCAGCCAGAATCAGGAGCAAGATGCTGTGCAGGCAGGAGCCAGCATTTTTTCCCAGAGACTGCCTTAGAGAAGCAGCAAGGGCATGGTTTGCAGCACGGGGAGCGGGGCTGGGCCGTGGAAAGCCAAAGCCACATGTTGCATCAACAGAAGGCCTGTCCCAGCCAGCTGGTGAATGCAGAACCTCTCTGCAGGGACACCAGGGACAGTCACGTCCATCCCCTCGTGGTCCTGCCTGCTGAGGGCTCAGCTTCAGCCACACAACATCCACACTGGTCCCTCTGCCCCTGCCCAAGCCACCTCCCCTGCTGTGGCAGGCACATTCTTCTCTCTCTCAGGACTTTTTCATAGAGGAAGCACAGAGAAAAGAAAAAGAAAATTTCTTATTTCTGCTCCTTGTTTTTCCCAAGTGGAATGTCTGTGAAGAATTGTTTACCTGGGGTGATGCTTGGTTGGATTCTGGTGAGGATTGTTTGAGCCTGGTGGCCAATCCAACCCACCTGGGCTGGACTCTCAGAGAGGGGCACGAGTTGGGAATGAGTTGGATATGGGAGTTAGAAAAAGTAGGTTTGTAGTTTTAGTATCTCCTTTAAATAGTTTATTAATGTATTATAGTATAGTTATAATAAATCATTCAGCCTTCTGGAGTCAGACATCAGCATTTCTTCCCACCAGCTTCACCTGCACTTACCACACCTGGGGCTGCTCCTCGCTGTCCCAGCCCCTGTGGTGCCCAACTCCCAAATCTGTGCACAAAGCTGGGGAGACCTGGAGACTGAGTGGGAACAGGGGAAGCCCAGCATGTCCCCAGGGCTCAACCTTTCATTTTGCCACAGCTCTGAAGCCTCCTCACACCCTGCAGCAAGGGTGACTCTGTGCGTGGCCCCAGAGTCCCCAAAGGCACCCTGAAAAGCCCAGCCGTGGTGTGCAGATCCCCCAAAGCACCCTGACCCCTCTGCCCCGCAGCCCGGGAGAGGGGAAGGCTGTGCCTCGTTTCTAAAGGAGCTTGGCCCACTTTCCTGTTAAAAGCCTCATTAACAGTCCAGGTTGGATGCGTGGAAAGACAAGGCGGGATGTTTTCCTACCTTTCTCATGAGATATTTATTTTTTCCCTGCCCTTTGTGCTGCCCACCCCCGATGTAGCACTCGCCACCCCCGTGCCACCCCCGTGGCACTGCCAGCGCCGCAGACACGAGCAGGGACACATCCATCCCTCCATCCCTCCATCCTTCCCTCCATCCCTGGTGGATTTCACACTTCCCCTCATCCCATCCCCACCCTCCGTTCCCATGCCAGAGAAAACAAACCCAGACTGTGGGAAGGGAGAAGGAAAGAAAGAAGAAAGGCAGGGGGAAGATCACTCGCCAGCAGCCCCAAATTGCCCACAGAGCTTCCTCCCTCCTCATCCTCCCTCCAGCACCGGGGGGCTCTGGGGGTTCGGGGGTGACCCTGGGGTGGGTCAGTGTCCGGGGAGGAGGGGGTCTGGACACTCCAGAGCCAGCAGTGCCACTGGATGGGGGCACAGACCGGTGCTGGCTCCAGAGCAGGGTGAGCACTGCCTCCGGAGCAGGGTGAGCACTGCCTCTGGAGCAGGGTGAGCACTGCCTCTGGAGCAGGGTGGGCGCTGGCTCCGGAGCAGGGTGGGCGCTGGCTCCGGAGCAGGGTGGGCACTGTCTCTGGAGCAGGGTGGGCACTGGCTCCAGAGCAGGGTGGGCACTGGCTCCGGAGCAGGGTGGGCACTGGCTCCAGAGCAGGGTGAGCACTGCCTCTGGAGCAGGGTGAGCACTGCCTCTGGAGCAGGGTGAGCACTGTCTCTGGAGCAGGGTGGGCGCTGCCTCTGGAGCAGGGTGAGCACTGTCTCTGGAGCAGGGTGGGCACTGCCTCTGGAGCAGGGTGGGTGCTGCCTCTGGAGCAGGGTGGGCGCTGCCATTCCCGGGAAGGAAGGAAGGGCTGTGCCCTGTCACAGGGTGCCTCGGCACTGGCAGGTGGTGAGCGGGGACCAGCGTGTCACCTGTCCCCACATCCAGCTCCATTAATCCCACAGATTGGGATCCACCCCTCTGCCCACCCCGTTCCAAGCAGAACAGCACCAAGGGGAGAGGGGGAAGTGTGGGAAAAGGATCCCCTTTTTTTGTGTCCAAGCCGGGGGGGAGGGCGTGAAATTTCTGGAAACCGGTGCAATGCCTGAGCGTGCTCGGGGGCCCCACGTGAAAAATCCATTAGGAAGAGTCTGGAGAGAATTAAAGCCCCTGTGAAAAGCAGCCTGGAGAAACAGGAGACAGCGGAGCCGAGGGAGGGGGAACAAGCCAGGCTTTAATGCCAGCATGAAAAGCCTCCCCCCGCCTGCCACCCCCCAGCCCTTATAAAAAGAGGGAGTGCTGTATGAATAGGAATTAAAGCAGCAACACGATCTGCCCGTGCCCGGCTCTGCCAGCTGTTGCATTCAGCCCAGCTTCCTGTCCCTGTGCCAGCAGCCAGACCTCTGGGACAGCAGCTGGGAGAGCTGGGAGAGGGACAGGAGGTCACCCCGGGCTCAGCCTGGCACCTGGCCCAGCCCACAGGTTCCCTTTGATCCCTCTGCAAGGCTCCAGGCATCTCCTGCCCACTTCCTGCAGCACAGCGAGGCCACAAACTTCCCCCAGCCTTCCCCAGCACAAGAATGGCTCCAAAAGTCCAGGCTTTAAAGAATCCCATCTTTCTCTTAATGGCAGTTTTTCAATAAAAATGAGGCGTATGCAAATCTTCCCACCTGTCCGTCAATCCTTTATCTGCTGCTTTTTTGAACCTGCTGGCCAATTTTAGTGCTATGTGACAGAATGAGCTGAAATTATCCCTCCCAGAAAGCTCCTGGAGACGGCTGGAGTGGGATCCTCGGTAGAGGTGGGAGCCAAACCTCATTAGACATCAGAGAACCCAGAGGGACAGGAGGCAGCTCCCAGGAGCAGGAAGGGCCCAGATCAGAAAAAAGGTATTTTTAGACACCCGGTAATTCTTCTGTGATATGCAGATCCACTGGAAATCAGCTTTCAAAAGCTCTTCTGCACATCTGCTGGGATATTTTAAAAGACTGCTTCCTGTGGACATGTTTTTCCTTTAAGTCCCATTACCATCCTTTTCTCCTCAATCCTAAGGACAAGGGAAAAGCCAGCCCAAACTCTCCCTGTAGCCACGGGCACTGAAGAAAATGTCAAACTCCATGAGGAATTAGCTGTTGGCCATGTGTCAGACCAAGCTCTTCCAGAGGAAGACTCTGGATTTCCTTCTAGCTTGGAAAACCAAACATCCACACAACGTGAACGGCGCTCCACAGAGGAACAGGAACCTGAATTCCAACGTCTTCACGGGCCTTCCCAGTTCCCAGATGGCCTCAGCAAACACAGAAATGACCCCGTAGGGTTCGTTTAGGAGCCAGATTGCTGATGGCAAACGTTCCCTGCCGGAACAGCCCACGCCAAATTATCCCAGGACTTTGCTCGTGTGTTAAGTCATGTGCACGAGGGAAGATAAGGAGAAACAAAGCTGCAATGTGAGAAGCCCAGAGCACTGCTGACCTTCTCCCTCCCCTCTGCACCTCTGCATGTCCCTCTGCAGCTTTCCAAGCTTTCCTCTCCCTCCCAGGGGTTCCTGCAGGGCGGGTGGGGATGGAAAAACCACTGGCAACTAATCCAGCAGTTCAGCAGCTGCCACTGGCGTGTCAGAGTGTGACAGCTTTCGGGCCAGATGCCAAACGTGTCTCAGGCTATAATCTCTCTCTCAGGTCACCTATCCCCTGTCCATCAAGCCCTGCTGCCTGGCACAGATGCCACCAGACAGGATGCACAGCCACTCTGGAAGATTAGCATCAGCCAGACCCTCCCTCGGGGCTCGCTCCTCTTTAGCCCCCCCGGCCCTACATCCTCCCACCTCAATCTGCCTGCCTTTGGAAACACCTGCTGCAGGAATTGGCATTTAGGGTTTCTCAGAAAGGGCTGCGTGGCTCCAGCGAGCCCCACGGGCTGTTTGCAGCGACCTTGCTGGGACGAGAGTGCTGCTGGTGTGTAAATAACTCCCTGCTGGAAGCCAAGCAAGCAGGGGGGTCTGCAACCCCTGCCAGCTTTTCCTCCCCCCCTGCCTGTAGCACATCCAAGGCCAGGGCTGCAAAGCTGCTGGCACAGGCTCTCCCTGCTCCCCCAGCTCTCTGAGTCTCCTTCAAAGGTCCATTTGCCCTTTTTTTTTCCCTTTCTCCTTGTGCTTCCTCTGGCTGGAGCCAGTGCACAAGGGGGTGAGTGTCTCCTGCACAGGGCCAGGGTGTGTCCATGCTCTGCTGCACCCAGAGGAGCCCATGTTCATGAATCCATGGATATTCCCACTTGTAAATGCTTTATTCGTGTCCTGTGCAGCAGGGCATCCCTGTGCATGCAGGTTTGGGAAAATCATCTCCATGGGCAGGACAAAAATGGGATCATTCACAGGTGTGAATGTCCAATGGGATCACACAGGTGTGCAAGTCCATGGGCAGGACAAAAATGGGATCAAAAGTGTGTAAGTCCATGGGCAGGATAAAAATGGGATCACAGAGGTGTGTAAGTCCATGGGCAGGACAAAAATGGGATCAAAGGTGTGTAAGTCCATGGGTAGGACAAAAATGGGATCAAAGGTGTGTAAATCCAATGGGCAGGATAAAAATGGGATCACACAGGTGTGTAAATCCATGGGCAGGACAAAAATGGGATCACACAGGTGTTTAAGTCCATGGGCAGGACAAAAATGGGATCACAGAGGTGTGTAAGTCCATTGGAGTCAACACATGTGAATGTCCATGGGCAGGATAAAATGGTATTACACACATGAATATCCATGGCCAGAACACAAATGGGATCACACAGGTGTGAATATCCATGACCAGAACACAAATGGGATCACACAGGTGTGAATATCTATGGCCAGAACACAAACGGGATCCCACAGGTGTGAATACCCATGTGCACAACCACCACACATGTGCAGTCCACAAGCACAGCCTTTTATTCTGTCACCCACTGCCTGTAATCAATAGTTACATGTCACACTACATGGCTTGCCTGCGACTGACAAAGGTCCTGCAAGGCAGGAGAAGCTATTAGGGGAACAGATTGCTGGAATAAAATATTAAATTTCCACTTATCAATCTCTTTAATGCGCCATAACTCTCATAGAAGCATTCAGCCTTCTCCCTCTGAACAAATTGCCCTCCCCATCAGGGGGCTGAACCAGCCCTGCACTTTTCTTCTCTGGGGCCTGGAGGGAAGATTTTGGGCAGCAAAAAGGGGGAGAACAGGGAGACAGAAAGGGGAAAAGCTGCTGCAGGGTTTTCTCTGCATCAGTCTTCTGTGTTTTTTTTGTTTTTTTTTTTCTCCCAAGGCTGGCTGCTCACTAGATTGAACTCCATTTATTGCATGCAGCTCTTGAAAGAGGTTTCGTGGTCCACTGACAATCCCTAAATTGCCTGCAAGACCCAAACAAATGTACCTGTAATAGCTGAGCGAGGAGGGCTGAGCCCTCCCCAGCACCGACCTAATCGCTCCTCAGGGAGAGCTGGATAAACATATTCAGATCCCATGAATTATTAAAGGATTTTTTTTTTCTTTTTTAATGTGGCGTAGGCCTGGCCTGTGTGGTTGGCTGTTAATCCCTCCTCGCAGGGCAGCTGAGGGTGTGCCCTTCATTCCCTCTCCTTTAACCTCAACCCCACAGCCAGGACCTTTGGGAACCAGCTGAGATTCCACCAACAACCCCAAAAATCCTGCCAGCCCTGTGCTGATGGAGCCTGAAAAAAACACCAGGAAAAGAGACAATTCCAAATCCCAGAGGGAGAACCCACAGCCCATCACTCTGGAGGAGCCTGTGCAGCTGAGCTGGTGCTGCAGCTACTTTCAGTACCACTGAGGTGCTGAGACACATCAAAAATGGGCAGAAAATGTGAAGAGAGGGCAGTGCCTGGTGTCCTGACACCCCAAATGATGTGGGGTGGCTGGGCAGGCAGAAGGACAGCAAAAAATGGACACAGAGGCTATGGAGGAATGGGAAGTGAGAGCCTGTTGCTCTCAAAGTCTTCTCCAGTCCTGCTTCACCTCCTTCTCTGTGTCTGAGGGCTGAGCTTGGAGGTTTTTGAGCTTGGAGGTTTTTGGGATGGATTTCTGCTGCCAAAGGGAGTCACAGCTTGTACCAGGCGCTGCCCCAGGAACCCTGAGGTGACAGCTCCCCTGGAATGGCCAGCAGCTGATTTTGGCCATGACCTTGCCCTGGTTTTGGGTGGTTGGGCAGGGCTGGGCACAAAGGGCTTTGTTTTTTCCCTGGCAAAAGAAACAGCCCCCAGAGAAGTGCTGTACCAGGAACAACTCAGCAGGCAGGGATCCAGGCCAGGAGGTGTGAATGAAAGGCCTGCTACAGGGATAAGGATCATAAATAAATAGCGGGTAATTAGCATCTAATTAGCACATCCCATCCATTGACCTCCAAGCACTTGGAGGAAGCACAAGAGGAAGATTAGCCTGGTTTGTCCACCTGACAGAGAGGGGAGCCGAGGTGCCAAACACGGAATTATTGCTAATTTTGGCTGCCCCAGGCTGGGCTCTGTGCTTGCTCAGCATTTACCACCAGAGAAAGCTGGTGGAGGGGGCTGGAGCTTCATCACCCTCGGGTCAGACAATTCCCAGGGGTGGCAGGAGAGGCTCTGACTGCCTTGGGCTGGACACAGGGAGAGGTAACAGCCCCAGGAGCCTGCTCTGGGTTCAGAGGCACCCCAGTGCACCTCATTCACCCCACTGCCCATCCTTTGCAGCCCACAGCTCGCTGCACTGTGGCTGTGCTCCACCTCACTGCTCCAAGAGGCACTTCCAGCCCTCCTGAGACCCACCAGTCACTGCCTGATAACCCAAATCACTCCTTTTACCCCAAAGGAATGGGATAAATGTCCCTTTTCTGCTCTCAAAGCACCCACAGCCACTTTTCCCCCTTGGTGATGTCTCACAACGTCACTCTGACTTTCAGAAATCAGGTTATTGCCATATGTTATTTCTTCCCGTGGAGCTATTTCTTGACATGACTTTCTCTCCCTGACACTACCTAAGCTTGCCCACATGTCTTTCCCTCCCTCCGTGGCCACCCTGCTTTGCAGGCCGTCAGATTCCTTCTGTCTCCTGTGACATCACAGCCTCACTTCCCACTGCCTGCATCCTGGGATGGACTTCCTCCCTGGAGCCCAGACAAAGCTCCTCCAGCACTCACAGGAATCGTGGCAGGCAGGTGAGAGAGTTCACAGAGCACTGCAAGGAGCTCAAGAGAGGAATCAGGAGAATTGCCCAACACCAGAAACACCAAGCGCCATCCTGAACAAGTGATTCATCCATCTCCTGCCTTCCTGGCAGTGCACATCCTCATCCTGCCCCTTGCTCTGATCAATATCGTGACGTGTCTCTGCTGTTCACATGTACCACAGTCTCTGAATCCAAAGCAGAGAGGCTGGGCGGGACAGGCTGAATTGGTGCAAGAACGAAAAACACCGCGAGAGGAAAGGAGGAACCAAAAATCCAAAGCAAACCAGTGCAACACCGGTACAAAGCCAAGAACTCCACCGGCCCGTTTGCCTCGGGACATCCCCACACTGAAAGGAGACACTGGTGGCCGAGGAGATGCCAACTCCTCGCAGCTTGGTGTCCCTCCCCACCTTGTTTCCCATGTCCTACCTGTGACATTGACCTCCACCAAGCCCGAGCGGGTCCCGATGGCGTTGGTGGCCTCGCAGACGTAGGTGCCAGCCACGCTGTAGGACACGGGCCCTTTGAAGTAGATGGTGTTGTTCTGGATTTCCACGCTCCCTGGCAGGGTCCCGTTGGGCCTGGGGGGGACAGAGACCATGGTTGAGCCCACAGGTGGCACCCAGAGGTGACACCAACCTTCTGGGTCTGTGCTTGCCCTTGGGCAGGCGTGGAAGCTGGAGGTGCTGGCTGGAAAATCCCCATTCAGGTAGGCAGGAAAGGGACACAACCTGACCCTGTTTTAGCTGAATTTCCTGCCCATTTAACTCTCCTGATCATCCAGTGTTAGTTTAAACTCAAACTCAAGGGCAGCAGTGTTGATTTACAGCCCTGCTCATGTCAGAACAGTCAGGTAAGTGTGAAACTGCAATAATGCAAAACTAAACCCGGAGATACAGAAAATAAATTTACAAAGGCAGATGAAAAAAAAAATTTTAAAAGCCCCTGTGTGTTAGGAAAAGACACACATGGCCTGGTTATTCTTAATTACTGAAGCAAAGTAAAGTAATTACTCCTCTTAGGCAATTAAAAATTACTCAAGTAATTCCTTCCCCTCCTCCCAACCCAAATGTGCACATATTGTCAGCAATTTATAAGAAACAAAAGGGAATAACGGGGCTATAATTAGGACTGTGAAAAAGTGCCTAAATGCATGTATTTTGCATGTCTACGCATACACATATGTACAGAAAACAGATTTTCCAGCTGCATCAAGCCAACCATCCCCAAGCTGATGGAAAAACACCTTAACCATGGTCCTGTAGAGCCCTGAACCTACAAAAACAAGAGCCCAGCTCATGAGGGTGGTGTGGGATGCTCCAGGAGGCTGCTGCCTCCTCTGACAGCTCCCCTGACTGCTGCTCATCACCATCCAAATGGGAGGAGAGGAAAAGCACTGCTGGGTTTTACATGCCAGGCACAGAAATAGCCTCAAGGGGCATCTCTCCTGCCTCGGGTGCATTTTTGCCTCCGAGGCTTTCCTGAGAATGTTGTGAGGAACCCAGAGAGCCTGGCAGAACCAACAGATGGAGAGAGCTGGGGATGGAGAAGTAGGGAAAAAAAGGCAGGAAAAACAATCCTTTTCAGACTTTCACTTTGAACAGTTTGATCTGGGAAGTGGAATGAGAGAGAATGTGCTCCTTGCAAAGCCATGTTGAGAGCCTCCCTCCTGATGACAAATGCCAGCTGAAAAGAAGAAAGGATCCATTTGATCTTCCTCTTTTAAAGCTACATGAGTGCTTACAGAGAAGAAAGAGCAGCAGAGAGAACCACATCAGGTTGTGTCAATTCCCACCTGACTGCCCAGACACCCCTCACTCACTTTTCAAGTCCCTTTAGTGTGTTCAGCCAAAAGCTGGGCACCTGAGGACAAGGAATTGTTGCTGTTTAATGCCAGTCACGTAAAGAGCTGATTCCAGGGGAAGGTTGTTCACACACAGCACAATTTTGTGTTATTTGTGCCCTTTCAAAGCAGGGAAATCCAGGGTTCTTCCCCAGCTCTGCTGCCGAGGCACTTGGTGGTGCTGGGCACGTGGATCACCGTGTCACATCTCAGCTGCCTCACGTCACCAGGGCAGAATATCATCTCAGTGAGGTGAGAAGGGGAAGTTTTCCCTGGATTTTGAGGCTGCACTGGGCTGGCAGCCACCTCCACCACAGGCACAGGCTGTCACCTTGGGGTGACACCGCTGACACTAATGGGACTGGGCCCTAACTGACCAGAGGGTGAGCGAGGTGTCTGCAGGGACTCCTTGTCCCTGCTGGGAGGTGACATTTGCTGCTGGCAGCAGGGCTCTGGGGACACTTACAGCTTCCACTCGTAGGTGTGAGCTGGGGGGTTGGCATCAGATTTGCAGATCAGCTTCACATCCTTGCGGTTCAGGAACCAGTTGCCATCAAAGCCCTCGATGGTGACTTCTGGCTCGTCTGCAGGGGTGGGGAAAGGGAGGAGAGCAGAAGGGGAAAAGGAGAGAGGAGAGAGTTGTGGGAAAGGAAAGGGGAGGAAATGAGATGGGAAGAGATGAGGGGCACGGGTGGGAAAAGGAGAGAGATTAAAAGGAGAGGAAAGGATTGTGGAAAATGGAATAGGAAGAGATGAGGGGGCAGGAGTGGGAGAGGGAGGGAGATTGCAAGGAGGGAAAGGTGATGGGACAAGGAATGTGGGAAAGGAAAGGGGAGAAAATGAAATAGGAAGAGATGAGGAGGCAGGAGTGGAGAAGGAGAGAGAACACGAGGAGGGAAAGATGATGGGACAAAGAATGTGAGGGAGTGCAAAAGAGAGAGAAGGGGAGCAGAGAGGACACGACAGAGGCAGAGAAAGAAGAAAAACAGAAACCCCACAATTATTCCAAGGGATCCTTTCAGTTTTCACCCTCAGAACCAAGACCACGAGCCCTCCACCAGCCCAGCCCTGAGCAGGGAGCGTGCCCAGGCCCCTTACACTGCACGTTGAGGGTGATGCTGTCGGTGAACCTCTCCAGCTGGTAGTTGACCACGCACACGAGCTGCTGGCGGTGCGCCTCGCGGCTCGGCACCAGCCGGTACCGGCTGATCACCGTGACGGTGCCGTTGCTGTTCCGGATCTCCTGGAACTCCGCTTCCCCCTTCAGCTTCGTGTCCCAGCTGACGGTGCTCGGGGGTTTCCCGTTGGAGGAGGTGCAGGTGGCTACCAAGATCTTTTCTGTCCTGCCAGACTTGGCAATTAGTGGCCTCTTGGTGCCCTCCATCCAGTTCCTGGGCTTGGCTGCAGGGGAGTGCAGAAAGGAGGAGGAGGAGGAGGAGGAGGAGGAAAAGGTGCAAAGGGATGGTTAGAAAGGCAATGCTGCTCTGTTTGCTACACCCCAAGAACCATCCACAGAGCTTGTGGCGAGTCCAGAGCTGTGCAAATTGCCAGCAATAATTCCCATGTAATAATTGCTTTATGGCAGTGCCTATGTACCTTGCACCATCTACCTGCATCATTTATGGGGAAACAATGGTGGAGGTACCATAAATGTGGAATAAATAACAAATAAATAAATAAATAAATAAAGTCCTTTCCTCCCAGAGGTTTTCATCCCTGTGCTAGAAAGGAACTGAAATTGGAGAGAAAACTACTCATGTAAACCTTGGGTGGGGTCTGTTCACTCACAGCCCTGAGGGACAAGCTCTACTTGAGTTTAGGATCAATCTGTTGTTTGACAACCCCAGCTCATTAAAATCACCACTCCCACAGGGACTTGGTCACTGTTACTGCACCTACATTACAGAATCACAGAATCACAGAATAATGAGGTTGGAAGAGACCTCTAAGATCATCAAGTCCAACCTATGCTCTAACACCGCAACTTAGACTATAGCACCAAGTGCCAAATCCAGTTTTTTAAACATAAAAAAAAAAAAATAAAATTAGGAGTGTAGGTGGAGGGCAAAGGGGAGCTGAGGCCTGGAAGGAAGAAGTGTGACAGCTCAGCTGCCTCAGAACCACCTGCTTTGTGCTCCCTGCTCTTCACCTCTTCCCAGCCAACTTAAAAATCCATCCCCAGGTACAATTTACACCCCCATGTTTGCCCTGAGCTCCCAGGGTGAGAACCTCAGGTTCCTCCAGCTCTGTTGGACTGGAGTTCACCCTGCAGCTCCTGCCCAGAGCCTTACCCAGCACGGTGAGGTTCAGCTGCCCTTCCCGGTTGCCGGTTGGGAAAGTGGCAAACTCACAGATGTAAACCCCCTCATCCTCCAGCTCCAGCCGGGACAGCTGGATGGTGCCATCCTTGAAGGAAGGGTTGCGGAAGGTCACCCGCTCCTTGTAGGGGGACAGGATGGACACGCCCATGGCAGGGTTGTAGATGGCCACATTCTGCTTGGTGCCGTTGGTGACCTTCTGCCACGTCACCTGGGTGATCTTCACGCTGGGCAGCGGGTTGGTGAAGCTGCAGTGCAGCACCACGTCCGTGCCGATGAACCCCGAGACGGAGTCATTGACCAGGACAGCCTGAGCGTGCAGCCCTGCAAGGGAACGGCAACACGTGAGCGTCGGGCGCTTCCCAGAAGCAGTGTGGTTACTGAGCATCAGGCTCAGGAACCCCTCTGTTCATTCCACTTGTTTCACAGAACTCACAGAATCACCAGGCTGGAAGAGACCTTCAGGATCATTGAGTCCAACCCAGCCCCAACACCTCAACTCAACCCTGGCACCCAGTGCCACATCCAGGCTTTGTTAAACATACCCAGGGATGGTGACTCCACCACGTCCCTGAGCAGCCATTCCAGAACTTTATCACCCTTTCTGTGATAAACTTATTCCTGATATCCAACCTAAATTTCCCTTGGTGCAGCTCAAGGCTGTGTGCTCTGGTTCTGTCAGTTCCTGGAGAAAGAGCCCAACCTGAGCACAGCCACCTTTCAGGAGCTGTAGAGAGTGACAAGGTCACCCCTGAGTCTCCTTTTCTCCAGACTGAGCACCCCCAGCTCCCTCAGTTCCTCCTCACAGGGGTTTGTGTTTCTTACTGACATGGCTGATACAAGAGCAATTTGTAGCTACAGGCACCTCCTGCATCCACCTGCAGCTTCATTCTTGGTCATAGACATCTTCCTCCCACTGTGACCAGCCCAGGGCTCATCATCATCATCACCCAAAGGCACAAGGCTGGATCAAGAACACCTTCCTCCCACTATGACCAGCCCAGCCCAGGGTTCATCATCATCATCATCATCACCCAAAGGCACAAGGCTGGATCAATAACACCTTCCTCCCACTGTGACCAGCCCAGCCCAGGGCTCACCATCATCATCATCATCACCCAAAGGCACAAGGCTGGATCAATAACACCTTCCTTCCACTATGACCAGCCCAGCCCAGGGCTCATCATCATCATCATCACCCAAAGGCACAAGGCTGGATCAATAACACCTTCCTCCCACTGTGACCAGCCCAGCCCAGGGCTCATCATCATCATCATCATCATCACCCAAAGGCACAAGGCTGGATCAATAACACCTTCCTCCCTTTTGTCTTCAGCTCGGGGTGACACTGAATCATATGTGGTAAATATGCAGGGCATGTGTGTCTGCAGGCATGTGAAAGCCCTGATGTTTATCAGCTCAGCACAGCCCAACATATGCTAACACACACTCAGACATCCATTTAATCCCATTGGAGCTGCAGCAGTAATTAAAGGAGCTGCAAAGACTCAGCCCTCATTTCAGGGCAGCAATAATTCCCATACAAGAATGGCTTTAAGGCACTGCCTCTACACCTTGCATGATCTCCCTGTATCATCCACATCATTTTTGTGCCCTTTTAACCCCAGAAGTGGCTGAATTTAGGAACCTTCCACCTTGATTCTGTGGAAGGTGCTCATGAAAAGTGGGAGCTGCAGTCCATGGTGACTCTTCTGTCTCAGTCCATTCCTCCCCTGACAGATGGAGAAAAGTATCTCCCACCAGACTGACCCTGGAATTCATCTTTGCTGCCACTGTGTCTTTTCCTAATCTGTGTGTTTAGAGATAATGCTCTGGTAATTATACAGGCAGGATTTGTATGATAAATACAACAGAGAGGCAAGGTGGGAAGAACGAGAAAAGCGGGTTTTGCTCCCAGCTTCTGGGAGAATCTGCAATTGGATGGATTCTGGGAGCTGGGGAGGAAAGGAAAGAAAGGGATAATAAAAAAAAGAAAGATAGAAAACTCTTTCATGTTCTGCACAGAGAGTGAGGAACATGAAAGAGTAATAGAACAGAGAGAGGGGCTGGGGAAAGAAAAATGCAGAGCAAGAGAAAACAAGACAGCACCTCCTAACAGAAATGTCACCCTACTCTGTTCTTCCAGGGATGAATGGCTCCCTGTCCAAGGGTAAAATAAACTCCTCAGTGTTGGTCCCCGTGGCAGATGTGTCCTGGGACTTCTCCAAGAGTCTCCTTCCTGCAGTTTCTCACACACACACATACACACACACACACACACACACACACACACACACACACACACACGAGTGCAGGCAGACAAAACTCTTCTCCACCCACCCACACTCCACGTTGCCCCCTCACTCCCTACCTGCTGTTCCCAGCCTTATCCTCATCCCCACATCTCATCCACGCCTCTTCTCTCTCCCTTCTCCTTCCTGTGACCCTGAGGACAAGCCCCAACAGCCCAGCCTGGCCACCAGACGCCACCAGCTGACCACAGCCATCAGCAGTTCCGACCGAAACTCGGCCTCCAGAGCTTTGTGTGGGCTTGCCCCTTGTTCCCCGAGCCAAGCCCCACACCCCAGCACTGCAGCTGGGTGCTCAGGAATGTTTTCCAGAGCTTCTTGCAGCCACAGCAAAGTGCTGGTGCCCTCAAGTGCCTGCACGCACGAAGCCACCGAGTCCTCTGGGGCTGGCAGGGTGCACCCTTCCCCTCCCAGCACAGCCAGGACCATTTCCCCCACAGTTTTCCCTGCACAAAGCAGAGGGTCGGGATGTCCCCACTCTGAGAAAGTCACATCTGGAGCACGTTTCCCCTCTGGAGAAGGATGTCCCAGCAGCAGAACGCAGTGCAGGACTTTTCTGCCACCAGTGCCCACAACATCCTCCCTGATGAAACGAGGGCACAGGCTGGGTTTAGGTGAGGCCGAGCTGGGATCTGAGGGAAGAACGGGTGGACAGGGGAAGGGGGAGATGTCTCCAGCACGCATATGCTGCTCCTTCCACCCCGCAGGTGAGCGAGCCTCTCGCAGCGTTGCCCACGCCCGCCGAGGTGAGGAGCAGCTTTGCCAAGCAGTCTGGCTCGGAAGGCTCCAGAGCCTCCCAGAGCGTGTGGGAGCTTGCTGGGGAGCACTTCAATCACGTAGCCAGGGCCTGGGAGCAGCCCAGCCCGGGCGGGTGTGCTCAGCACTCCCTCAGCTCCCAGGGAGCGCGGAGTCATCAGCGCTTCTTCCACCGAGAGCTGGTGCCCGCAGCGGGGCCCGCCTGGGGCTGGGGTGCTGGCACAGCTGGCTCTGCTCCCCACGAGAGCTGGCTCTGCTCCCCACGAGCTCCCTGACCCCCCACGGGCCCTCTGAACCGGCATTTCCACGCCCCAACAAAGTGGTCCCGGGAAGTCGCGGCTCCTCGCGGCGCCCGCGAGCAGCAGAGGAACCAACCTGCAGGCAGGGGAGGGTGGAAGGCCACCAGCTTCTCCTCAGAGTCACCCTGCAGGGCTGGCAGTCCCTGGAGGCATGAGCCACCAGTGATGGGCAACCAGGATGTGCCTCTGGAATGAAGATAAAGTCAACCGAGCTGCAGCCATTCCAGCAGGGAATGTGATGGATAGCACAGGGGAGGTCAGTCCAGTCCCTCGCTCCATCCATCATCACCGTGCCCTTCCTTTGCGCTGTGATTTCCCTGCAAATTAATGAACTGACCCTTTTACAAGTCAAGTTATTTATCTTGACCTTGAGCAGCAGCAACAATTCCCAGTTCTACCCTCCCCCTGCCATGCATCAAAACAGGCTGGGCTTGGACATAAACTGGAGAAAAAGTGGATTTTGGAGATGATAAACTTGATCCTGAACCTACAGGATTCCTGCAGAACTCGCCGATGTCCAGGTGTGAAGAGCCAGACTTTTGGCCAGGGAAAAAGCTGGTGCCAGTTGAGTGAGGACAGCTTGCCAAGAGCCAAACGCTGCCAAAGCTGGGATTCAGGCCCTTACACGCAGCAGCCCTGACAAAAACACATTCCAAACTTTCTCGAGGCTCCAGGGGAAAAGGGAAAACAAAAAAATAACACCCAGCAGAAGAAAAAACAAACAAAAAAACACCCTGAAAAACCCCAAACACAGCACGGAAATCGCGTTTCCTTTCCAGGCGACTGAACAACTCTTTTGCAAGACAGGAAAAACTCTCTCTGTTCCAGTCATCCAAGCCTTAAATCAGGAAAACAACGCACCCATTCTGCTCCAGGAGCACCCACAGCTCAATGCAGCGATGAGGAAGGGGGACAGATGGAGGAAAGGAGTTTGGGAAGTTGCTGGATCTGCTTCCCACCCTAAATCAGAAGCCAGAGGGCAAACCTGGCTGCTGCCACGCTCTGGAGAGCGCTTGTTTGCAAGGTGACTGAGCTGGGCTGGCGGGCCTTCCCTCGCCCCGTTACACACTCAATAATTCATCAGGGCAAATGCATAGATAATTGATAGCAATGAGCACGCACGGCCGGCAGAGGAGGAGAAAATAAAATCACTAATCAGCCTCTGGAGAGCTTTGAACATATTCAGCTGGATGTGTGTGTGTGAAGTGCTGAGATTGGCCACGTTTCTCCTTTGCTGAACGATCCGTGTGGTTGGAAGGGCAGGCAGGAAGCTTGGGATGAATCCTGCCATTTTCACACCCCAGATCTCCCAGTGCCCACCAATCCATGCTGACACCTCCCAGGGGCAGCCAGCAAGGATTAGCTGGATAGGTTGCAGCTTGCCCACTTGCATTTTATTCATTAGTTTTGTGGTGTTATTTTTTGTCACGGACCAGAAAGGGCCCAGCCGTGTGCCAAAGACATGTTGGTGCCAAGACCTCATTAGTGCAGACCTCGGAGATCCTACTCCTCCACCTTGGCCTCTGAAGTGGTTTGTCTTGATGCCTTTCCCCACGATCCCAACCCCAGATATTCACCAAGGCCTCGGGGGCACCGTGCACAGCTCGGGGTGCCCTGAGGCACACGGGCTGGGAAGGAAGGTCTGCACTCCCTGGGTGTTGGACACAGCAGAGATGGCAGGTGGTGGCTCCCGGAGCTGGAAACCCTTTCTCCTAAAAGCCCAGGAGGTGCTGTTCCAGCGAGGCTCCCACACTTGCAAATCAGGTTCTTGCTCCCCCGTACAGAAAGCTCTGGAAATGATCTCCAGGCTCTGGGTGAGCTCTGTCACAACCTCACTCAATGCTTCTTTGTTAAGAGCCATGTGAACCCCACTCTGCTTTGCACAACCTTGCCTCTGCTGAGCCTCTCACCAATTTCTCTCCCTCCTGTTCCCTGATACTCATCTCCCCCCAGGGGCACT